CTCATTTCCCTCTCTCCTTCTCCTCATCTGCTTCCTCGTTTCTCTCATCCTTATCTGCCTTCTCTTCTTCTTCCCCCCCATGTCCCCCTCTCCTTCCAGCTACGCCTGTGAGTTTTGACGCCGGCGCCAGGGGCCCTCCTCGCGCACCCGAAGGCAATCGTATATGGCGCGCCGCGCTGCGCAAGGCGGCTGGACGACGAGGGGGCTACTGACCTGCTCCGCACTGCAATTTATGGGCGGTTGCCCGTACGAGTTGCTGGTCCCTTTCATGCTTGATACATGGACCTTGCCATCGTGTGCCACCGCGCAGAGCTACCCCGCATTCTTCACAGCCGATCTCACGCCTGCCGTGTTTCGCCGACGCTCCCCCCCTCCTCCCCCTCTTTGTTAATTCAAGCTTCGCGCGGCCCGCTTAGCTTCGACCGGAAGGGGTGCGCTCTCGACCCGCGAATCAAAACAAGTTTCGCCGACGCTGCAGGCAGCGGCGCGTTTGTGCGAGGCACGAGGCGGCCGAGGCGGAGATCGAAGGACACAGGCCGCGGTCGAAGTCTTGTCTTGGGGGCTTGATTGAAGCGGGGGACACCGCTGATAGTTGCGGGAAGTTCTCGACAAAGCCTACGACGCGCAGAGCGGCGTTATCTTACCAAGTGTGCCGCTCGGCCAAGACGAGTTTCAGGTCAAGAATGTCACGATGCCTTTGTCTGCTCTGAGTGGTACATGCCCTCGTGGTGTGCGGCATGAGTTTGGCTTCCCCTGGGTGGGGGGAGGGTATTGCCTTGAAAAAGGGGGCCCGTCTTGGTTGTTCAGCGCAAGTCATGTCTCGAGCACGCTCGCCCTTTGCCATTGACGCCCGCTTGAACCTTCGCCACCGTCACCGCCACCATCCCAGCTCACACCTTCGCCCCCCCCCCCCCCCCACACCACTTACACATGCTGAAGTAGATCCCCTCCCCCCTCTCTCCCCCTATCGCCCCACAAGGGAGGGACTTGCAGCACGTGTTTTTTTGCTTCCTTAGGCTGCAGGCGCACTTTCCCCTCGCCCTTTCTCGACGGCTGCTTCTATTGCCCCTGCCGTTGCTCCCTGACGCGATTTGACATTATGCTGCCCACCGAGCTTGACACTACAGTCAACCTGCATAGTAAGGATGAGCGACTTTTCAGGGCTACCCTTGGATCCTTCCCCTTCGGCCCATCCTTGGCCGCTTTCGCTGGCCGCCCCCCGCTCGCAAACTGTCGACACGGCGTTCCAAGGCCCTTGCCATCCTCATCGCGTTTTCTCATTCGTCGGGTTGACTGTACCCGCCCCTTGGTGCAGCGCACGCGCAACGCAAACAATGAGGAAGGATGAGCTCCCTCCCCCTGGGCCCCTTCATCACCCAGCCAGATCCCCATCTACCTCTCCTCCCTCTGCTCCCTCTTCTCACCCTTTCATCACTCCCTCTCCTCCATTCCCTCCCCTTCTCTCCTGTCCTCTTTCCCACTCGCCCCCTCTCTTCCTCCCTCCTCCCCTCGCCTTCCTCGTCGAGGAGGAGGAGGAGGAGGAGGAGGAGGAGGAGGAGGAGGAGGAGGAGGAGGAGGAGGGTGCTAAGGGAGATGGGCGTTGTTTTGGGATGGACCAGCGTCCAGGGAGGGTGCCCAAATGGGCGTCGGGGCGAGGGCTGGTTGAGGCAAGAATCGGCGGAGGGCGAGAGGGGGAAGTGAGA